AGTGCATTTCTAATTCATTTTCAGGCTGTTAATTGTTGTTGGTTTAGAGTCTTGATGAGATAAAGATGACATATATTTCCTTCCCAAAAGGACAAGTCGGAACTAGATGCATTTTTATGAAGATTGAACAATAATTTCATGGTCATCATTAAATTTTATTTTGGGTTGTTTTGAATTTGAATTCAGATGCCACCAGTTGCTGTGGTAAGATTTGAACCAGTGTCACCAGAACATTAAATGAAAGGCAAAATACTGTGGTTGCTGGAAATCTGAAGCAGAATGCCGAAGAAACTCAGCAGGACTGTGGAGAGAGAAATGGCATTAATGTTTAGATGTGTAGAACTTGCCTGGAACCTAAGAACTAGGAGAACGAGTAGGCAATTCAGCCTTTTGATCCTGCTCTGCTACTTGATATGATCACAGCCTCCATTTCCCTGCTCATTCTCCATAATCCTACGACCCATTACTAATTAAAAATCTGTCTACCACTTCAAACTTACTCAATTTCCCAGCATTCACTGCAGACTGGTAGTGAATTCCACAAGTTACACCTCTTCGAGTGAAGTAATTTCTCCTTCTCTGTTTTAAATCTGATACTCCTCATCTCCAAACTAGACCCTTTGTTCTCGATTGCCCCACACAAGGAAACATCCGCTGTATGTCTACTTTGTCAATTCCCTTTAACATCTTGTATATTTCAATTAGATCTCCTTTTATCCTTCTAAACTGCTCCATTTCTTTCTATAAGATGACCCTTCATCTCAAATCAATATAGTGAACCTCCTCTGAACTGCCTTCAATATGACTACATCCCTCCTCAAGGGGACCAAAATTGTTGGCAGTACTCCAGATGCAGTATCACTAATGCCTTGTACAATTGCAGCAACATGTCCCTACTTTTATATTTGATTCCTTTAGCAATGATGTGGACGTGCTCATTTTGGACTGGAGTGGACAAAGTCCGAAGTCTCACGACACTAGGTTATAGTCCAACAGGTTTATTTGAAATCACAACCTTTCGGAGTGTCGCCCCTTTGTAGCACTTCACCGGATGAAGGGGCCACACTCTGAAAGCTTGTGATTTTTAAGTAAAACTGTCGGACTATAACCTAGTGTTGTGTGACTTCTGACTTTGTCCTTTAGCAATAATTGCAAAAATTCCATTTGCTTTCCTTTTTATTTGCTGCTATACCAATGAAGTTCCTTTTGTGATTCATCCGAGAGGACACCCATATTCTTCTGCAGTGAAGCATTCTGAAATTTTTCTCCATTTTAAATAATACATTTCCTTTCTATTCCTCTGACTAAAATGAATAACCTATCCACATTAAACTTCATCTGCCAAATTTTGACCAATTCACCTAACCTGTCCATATCCATTTGTACATTTCTTGTTTCTTCATTGCAACTTACTTTCTCACCTATTTGTGTCATCAGCATACTTGGTTATTGTACTTTCTATCCCTGCATCCAAGTCATCAGTATAGATTTTAAACAGTTGGGGTGGGAGATTGAACTGTGTGGCACCCCACTAGTTACATCTTGCCAATCAGAAACAGATTCATTTATCCTGCTTTCTGTTGGTTAGCTCTATCCAAACTAATACATTACACCAACCCCTTATAATCCTACCTTGTATATTAACCTTTTGTGCAGCATCTTATCAACTGCTTTGTGAACGTCCGGACATACAACATCTACAGGATCTCTGCTATCCATATTGCTTGTTACAAGCAACCATAGTGTGTCTTATCTCCATCAAATGTACGTTACCTTTCCCAAAAAGGAAAAATCTGTCACAAGCAGATGCAAAATGTTTTATAAAACATTGTTCCAGTCTTCAACCCTCAAATCCCTCGGTCCCCACCACACCCTGTCAATCTCCTATGTTGCCTCATACCCCAGTGCTAAATCTGCCTTCTATTTCCACTCACCACCTTAACCTTTTCACCTGGAAAGTTGAATAAGCAACTCTAGAAGCAACTTGTAATAAGTTTTAGTGTTGTTTTGTATGGATGTCAGACTTGGATTATGGAAACAGGTGATCAACTTGCTTCAATTGTATTGAATAGTTGTTTGAAGGAGAATGGATTTGATCAGCTGGACAGGAAAAAGTAGAAAATGATGAATGACTGATGGTGAAAAGCCTGGCATAGAGTAGTGAGACATGGAGAAGACTGAGTATAATCACTTGCCTTTGATAGAGCATGCATAATGATGGTGGGCATGAAAACTGTCAGCCGTTGAATGGAGAATGTGTACAGTGGAATGATTTGAATCACTTCTGCACAGTAACTTACTATGTCTGTTAACTAGAAGGCTGACCAGGGATTTCCATAAGACCTAGGAGTAGAAGTAGGCCATTCAGCCCATCGAGTCTGCTCAATGAATCTGCTTTCAATGAGATCAGGGTTGATCTGATAATCCTTAATTCCACTTTCCTGCATTTTCTCTATAACACTTGATTCCGTCACTGATTATATATATTCAAGACTGAGATATTTTTAATAATCCAGCCTCAGCAGTTCTCGGTGGGAAAGAATTCCACAGGTTGAGAGAAGAAATTCCTCTGCATCTCTGTCTTAAATGTGCTCCCCTTATCCTGAGATTATGCCTTCGGGTCCTCGGCTCTCCCACAAGGGGAACCAACCATTCTGCATCTAGCCTATCAAGTCCCTTAAGAACCTTGTTATAGTTCAATAAGGTTGCCTTTTGTTCTTCTATATTCCAACGAGTCTAGGCCCAACCTCCTTGATTTCTCACAAGTGTCTTCATACCTCAAGCATTCAGAAGGGAAGAACCGGACCACTAAAATTAAATCAGTGAAATTGATACAAGTATGATCAGACTCCTGGGCAAATATGAAGGACACAAAATACTTTAGGGGAGTAGTATTTGTGCTTGAGTTCTAACGGAGGTGCTGAGAATACATTTGGTGGCAGTCATATTGTTGGTTCAGATTTGAGTTTGTTTTTAGAAATATTAAGGAAATAGATACAGGGAAGTTACAGATCCATTCATCTCATTTCTATTCTGTGTAACTAATTGTGAAATTAATTATTAGAGCCAGAAACTTTTTATGGACTGTTCTAAATTTTAAATACGTTGCATGATCACCCACTAATTAACTTCTGTTCCATTGGTTACATCAATGAAGAAATCAATCACACTATCAATCTGTAGGCAATAACTGTGGAGTTAGAAAAGCACAGCCAGTCAGACAGCATTCGAGGAGCAGGAAAGTAAACGTTTTGGGCCAAAACCCTTCGTCGGGACTGGGTTGGTGGGGGAGCCCAGAAATAGATAGAGTGACGGGGTGGGCCTGCGGGAGGGTAGGTGAGATGGAGATAGATGAATACAGGTAGGGGGCTATTGTGGTTGGTCAGTGGGAAGGGTGGAGCGAAGGTGGACAGGTTGGGGGAGGAGAGATATTGAAGCTTGTGAAGTCAGGATCTGGTTCACAAGTGTCCTTACCGGATCTGGCCTACATGTGACTCCAGACCCACAGCAATGTGGTTGACTTTTAACTGCCTTCTGGGCAATTCAGGATGTGCAGTAAATGCTGTCTAGCCAGTGACGCCCTTATACCATGAATGAATTAAAAAACAATATTCAGGCCATTGGGCTGTAAGCTCCCAAGGCGAAATGTGAGGTGTTGTTCCTCCAGGTTACATTTGGCATCAATGACAGTGGAGGAGGCCATGGGTGGACGCATCACCAGGGGAGTGGGAGGGTGAGCTAAAGTAGGTGGCAACCTGAAGGTCGAATTGGTTGGTGCGTGCGGAGCACAGATGCCCCGCAAACTGGTCCCCGAGTCTGAATTTGGTCCCTCTGATATAGAAGAGACCACATTGGGAGCAACAGATACAATAGATGAGGTTAGATGAAGTGCAGGTGAATCTCTGCAGGATTTGGAAGGATTATTTGGGGCCTTGGACGGAGGTGAGAGGGGTGGTGCAGGGGCAGGTGTTATTGAGGAAACCAAAAGCAGTCTTGGGGACCAGTTTGTGGAGCATCTGCGTTCTGCACACACCAACCAACCCGAACCTATGGTTGCCATCCACTTGCCTCCCCCCTCACTCCCCTGGTGAGATGTCCATCCTTGGCTTCCTCCACTGTCAAAGTGAGGCCAAATGTAAACTGGAGGAACAACACCTCATATTTCGCCTTGGGAGCTTACAGCCCAATGGCCTGAATATTGACTTCACCAGCTTCAAAATCCCTCCTCCCCCACCTGTCCATCTTCTGATTCACCTATCCGCTCCACCCTTCCCACTGACCAACCACAATAACCCCCTACCTGCATCCACCTATCTCCATCTCACCTACTCTTCCCGCAGCCCCACACCCGTCCCTATTTATTTCTGGGCGTCCCTCCCCCTCCCTAGTCCTGACGAAGGGTTTTGGCACGAAAAGTTGACTTTCCTGCTCATGGGATGCTGTCTGACTGGCTGTGCTGTTCCAGCTCCACATTAATTGACTTTAGCTTCCAGCATCTGCTGTCCTTATTGTCTCCAAGACAATCTATAAACTAATTCCTCAATGAATACCAGAAATTCACTTGTTTTTATTGCTGTCTTTGTATTAAGATGTAATATCAGCCACAAATGCTTGTTAATGTCCTTTAATGAGAAAGTTCTTTACAGAAGATGTAATAATCAGAATTATTATGGAAACTGAATTCTGGTTAGTAAATTTAATCTTCTAAATGTATGCTTTTGCAGGATTGTGCCTGTCTGATGATGTGAGGTCCCAACTTGATGAGCTGATGATGGAGGCTCTTTTACTGCAGGTGTCACTGCCTGAGATGCAGCACATTTACCAGATCTCCTGTGCAGCCCAGTACCCTGTAGTGGAAAGTCACCAGCAACGATCTGAACTGCTGAATTGCAAACCAGTGGAGGTCATGCAGTGTCTTGCAGAGACCTGTACTTCTACAGCTGAGGTATGGAACTGCAAAAACCCAGTATCAGAGCATCGATGACTCGATATCCGAGCACCATATTTGGGCATTTAACGTATAAATACTGTCAAAATATACCTGTAAAAGTATGCATATATTTTGATGTGTGTTTGACAATTGTGTATGAATGACTATCAGATACTGTGGATGACATTTTTTTCAGATTAAATGAACTCAATGACAGCTTCATCAAGCTTTTGAGGAAACCAAGAGATGATGAAAAGATGTGGAGTATCCTAGAGATCATCTAATGCAGCTGTGATTTTTGGTTTTGCCTGTCTGCATTTATCATCTGCATTTTTTAGTCTTCAAACCAAACTCCTAAAAAGATATAATTTATATTTCTAGTCCAATGATGCTTCATTGAAACTGAATTCTGAAGAAGAGTCATTGGACTCAGAACATCAACTCTGTTTCTATCTCCACAGATGCTGTGCCAAATCTGTTGAGTATCTTCACCATTTTCTGTTTCATTTCAGATTTCCAGTGCATGTAGTATTTTGCCTTTATAGAAAAATACATTCCAGCAGAGTTCCTGTTTTCTTGATAGTGATGCATCTTCCCATTAGGAGCGACCACCACCTCCTCTTCTCACTCAAGACTGGATAGGCTATAAAGGGAACTGAAGTCATGGCATCTTATGGAACTCATGGCTGGAAGAAATGCTTGAGTCCACCCAGTCCTTTAAGAGATTGTTGCCCCTGATTTTCTCAGGCCAATTAGGAGGAATCCTATCTCTGAGAGTCAGGTTTCCATATCCAGGTCTCATTAATATCAACATGCTGGAGCAACGTAGTTAGACCAAGTAATTTGATATCTGAGCTATCTTGGAGATGGAGTATTGATTCTGTTGTTTGAGAGGTGTCGACCACCCCTCTTAATTAAAACTGAAACACCCAGGGAAGCTTGCCTCGCCTTGTGATCTGTTAAAGGAAGTGTGGAAAGTGGTATAACCTGCCTCTCACCTCCCAATTTGTGATAAAGGCCTGGTTAAATGAAAGAAATCCCTGATACTCACTTTACAAGCTACAAGCAACAAGTAACAATTTATTTATCTAACTCCAAGAGTAAACAAAGTGCCAGGGACCTGGGTTCGATTCCAGCCTCTGGTGACTGTCTGTGTGGAGTTTGCACATTCTGTCCGTGTCTGCATGAGTTTTCTCCAAGTGCTCTGGTTTCCTCCCACAATTCAGAGATGTGCAGGCTAGGTGGATTGGCCATGCTAAATTACCCATAGTGTTCAGGGATGTGTAGATTAGGGGAGCTATAGGAGGATGGGTCTGGGTAGAATGCTCTGAGGGTCGCTGTGGACTTGTTGGGCTAAAAGGTCCGTTTCCACACTGTAGGGATTCTATGATTCTATGAAATTAACAGAACTATGAACAAACTGAACAATTCCCCCCTTAACTGCTAACTCTTCCCAAATAAAACAAAATTCTAATGGTATGCTGTTCCAATCAATAACAATCCCACTTATATAAATCAAATTAATAAGAAAAGAAGATTAAAACTTAGTCTCTTGAAATTACAGCCAGGATAAGTCTTCCAGAATGTTCTTTGCCTTCTCCGCAGTATTCTATTCAGGAACACCTTTCTCTGTCGAATTCTTGTGTCAGGAATACTAGCTAAAGGTACTGCAGCACCCTTACTTAGATGGTGCTTGCTCTGAGAGCTTAAAGATTTCTGAGAGCCAGTGACTTTCTCTTCAGATGACGGTTCGCTCTCTCACCAATTTTCAAATGCCCTCTTCTTCTATGCCCTTGATGACCTATTACTTTCTTACAATAGGTTCTAGGTTGACAAAACCATCAGATTTAAATTTAATTAGGTTTTGGAATCTAGGACCTGGTTTAAAACAATTGGATAAATTCAAAAACCTGTTATATGTTGAATTACGGTGAAAATGTTGACTTAATTCCTGTTGAATGATTATTTCTGATTATATCATTTCTGAAATCATAAATAGTTGTAAAATAAAGTCTTTGTGACCAAAGTGTTGTGGACTTAATTTTGTTTAAACAGCAGAGAGAATACATATGAGATTAGTTTTCACAAGAACTCATGAGCCATCAAGTACACGTGCACAATAATACCATAAAGGATCTGAAAACTTAGCAGCTATTTCCTGTCTATTGGAGTAAATTGAACTGTCTTTTCTGTTTTAGGGTGAAGGTTGCTGTTTAAAGCCAATGAAGAGAGAAGGAAACTGTGAGAAAAAGAAGAGACGGCTTGAAAAAGATGGTTCAGTGGGTGAAAAGAGAGAAAAATTGAAAAAACTAAACAATCCAAAAAAGGGAAATGTCGAATTAAACCAGGAAAGAACAAAAAATTTAAGTTTGGTGAGAATAGAAGCGGAAAAGTATTTGGAATTTCTACAGCCTCATGAGGCACTGTCAGTGATAATGGAGCCTCCATACTCTGAGCCAGAGGACTCTGAAGATGAAGATGCAATCTGCCCGGCAGAAAGCTGCCAGCAGCCAGAGGGGGATGAGGTCAGTATTCATACGGTTATTCTTCTACATTGGAGTATAATGAGGTGCATAATAGCTTTTGAATATTTTAATCGAAAGGGCTATATTTAGCAGAATAAGGAACAGGAAATGGCGGGTGATGTTTGAATTTGTATTTGTTTCTGATTGCATCAATCACAAGTCTGCAGAATTGTCCATACAAAATCCTAATTGTTGGATTTTCAGATACAAGCCATTTGACTTCATTATCGCCTGACATCAAAAGCTATAAAATTGCTTAAAAGAAGCAAACTTGAAAGAAGTCTCATTCTTATTTCTATAAAGTTTCTTCTTTTCCTGTTTTCCTAAACATGACTAATTCTAATGCACTCCTAACCAGCTTGCCATTTCTTACCCTATGTAAATTTTAACTATTCCCAAGCTTGACTGTCTTTATCCCAATTTCTTCCAAGTGCCACGTTGGCCCCAGTTGAACAGTGCCTGATGTTAAAATTCTCCTTCGTCAAATCCTTTCATCACCTCACTCCTAACTCCGGAATCTGTTCTAGCTTCATAACTCTCCAAAATGAGCACTCCTCCATGAGCATCCCTGATTTTAATTACTATGCCAATAGTGGTCATGTCTTAAAGCTGCCAAAGCCTCAGTTCTGCAATTTCATCCATAACTCTTTCTGCTCTCAATCTTTCTTTCTCTTGCACGCTCCTTCAAACACGTTATGGCCAAGCTTTTGATCACGGTTCTGAATATCTGCTTATGTGGCTTTTTATCTTGAGTGGAAGAGAAACTGCAAAACCCAGCTCTACAGCCAGTGGAGATGTGATATTGTGACTGGGGCAAGTGATAACCCTTTAGACTAGTGCCAGAGAGGTTGTATGTTTGAGACCAGTAACTAGTGCCAGATGAGGAGGACAGTAGGGAGACCAAATATTGAAAATAAAGCGAAGTGGTATGGGAAATGGGAGCAGAAGTAGCATATTCAGCCCATTGGGTCTGTACTGCCATTCAGTAAGATCCTGGCCGATCTGATTGCATTGAACGGCATGGGACAGGAACAGGCACTTCAGCCTGATATGTCTGTGCCAACTATGATGCCATTCTAAACTAATCCCATCTGCTTGCACACAGTCTGTCTAAATACCTTTTAAACCTTGCCAGCGTGTCTGCTTTTAACACTTCTGGCAGCATGTTCCGGACACCTGCCACTATGTGTTTAAAAAAACTTTTCCTCACACATCTCCTTTTAACTTTCCCATCTCACATCTTAAATCTATGCCCAACCTTTCCTTATAGCTAATACATGCCAATCCAGGCAGCGTCCTGGTAAACCTGTTTTGCACCCCCTCCAAAGCCTCCATATCCTTTTTATAGTGTGCCAATCAGAACTGCACATGATACTCCAAATGTGGCCTCACTAAAATCTTATACCACAGCAACACGACTTGCTAACTTTTATACTCCATGACCTGACCAATGGAGGAAAGCATGCCCCATGTCGCCTTTACCACCTCGTCCACTTACTTTGCCACTTTCAGGGAGCTGTGGACTTGGATCCCTCTGTATATTAATGCTCCTAAAGGGTCCTACTTCTATCAGTACTACTGTGACTTGAGTTCCACTTTACACTTCCTTGTAGATAGAAATCTTTTGAATCCAACCTTGAATATATTCAGTGATCCAATCTTCACTGCTCTCTGGGGTAGAGGATTCCAAAGACTAGCAACTCGCAGAAGAAACTGACCATTTTTTTCTTTCTCCTTTTCAATTCTCCCTAGAATTGAAACATACTTTCAGCATCTATTCTGTCAAGCCCTTTCAAAATTTTGTTTCAAAAGAATTTCCTCTTGTTTTTCTAATTTCCAAAGAGTATAGGCCCAAACTGCTCGAACGTTCCGTGTAATTCTTTCATCAGCCTAGTGAAGATTGTTTGTTTGAATTTACCACTGCCTTCACACAGTACTCCCAAGTACTGCAAATTCACCAAAGATCCTTAGACAGCAACTTCCAAACGCACGACCATTTCTACCTAGAAGGACAAGGGCAGCAGATATATGGGAACACCACCACCTTCAAGTTTCCCTCCAAGCTACCCACCATTCCTGATTTGAAAATATACCTGTCGCTGGGTCAAATTCTGGAAGTCCCTCCCTAACGGCATTGTGGGTCAAATGACAAGTGGACTGCAGCAGTTCAAGAAGACAGCCCACCGCCACCTTCTCAAGGGCAACCAGGGATGGGCAATATATGCTGGCCAGTGAGTGATACCCACTTCCCACAAATGAATAAATATAAAAAAAAATCTTCAACTATAGCAAAACTTTATTTTTTGTTCTCCAATGCCATTGCAATATAAAACAACATGCTATTTGCCTTCCTAATCAACTTCTGTACCAACACATCAATCTTGCGTCCCTATGAATATACCAAAGGACTGAGTAGCAACATTTATAGGTTTCTCCAATGAATAACCTTACATTGCCACACTATTCTCCATCTGTCACTTTACCAACTCACATAACCTGTCTGAACCATTTCAACTCCCCCTCCCATTCCTCAGACGACATGTCCATCCTGGGCCTCCTGCAGTGCCACAACGATGCCACCCGAAGGTTGCAGGAACAGCAACTCATATTCCGCTTGGGAACCCTGCAGCCCAATGGTATCAATGTGGATTTCACAAGTTTCAAAATCTCCCCTCCCCCCACCGCATCCCAAAACCAGTCCAACTCGTCCCTGCCTCCCTAACCTGTTCTTCCTCCCACCTATCCCCTCCTCCGACACCAAGCCGCACCTCCATCTCCTACCGACCAACCTCATCCCGCCCCCTTGACCTGTCTGTCCTCCCTGGACTGACCTATCCCCTTCCTAACTCCCTACCTACACTCACCTTTCCTGGCCCCATCCCCGCCTCTTCGACCTGTTTGTTTCCTCTCCACCTATCCTCTCCTCTATCCCTCTTCTATCCGCCTCCCACTCTCTCCCTATTTATTTCAAAACCCCCTTCCCCTCCCCCTTTTCTGATGAAGGGTCTAGGCCCGAAACGTCAGCCTCTCTGCTCCTATGATGCTGCTTGGCCTGCTGTGTTCATCCAGCCCTGCACCTTGTTGTCTCGGATTCTCCAGCATCTGCAGTTCCTACTATCTCTAACTGTTCATCCAGTTTACTGTTACTCAGAGTATCTTGAGATGTGAAAAATGGTTGCCACATTTATGTAACAATAAGTCCACTTGAAAATAATTCATTGCATATGAAGTATTAGGAGATGTGGCAGAGTCTTGCAATAAGGTTCTGCATAAATTTAAGTGCCTCACTTGCTTTTCCTTTACCAGTGTAGGGCTTGGTTGAGAAAAAGTAGCAGGTATGATTTAGGTAGGTGAAATAGCAATCTACACAGTCATTCAGATATGAGGTGGAAGGGTCCTGTGCATGTGCCACACAGTTTTGCTGTTTTAAATCTAAAGTAACGCAGTCACAACCAAATCGCCATTCAACTTCAGAAGAAGGAGCTGTCTTCAGATGAGTACAGTGCTCATGTTACCAGGCCAGTAATCCAGCCACCCAGATTAATAATCCCAGACTGCTGGGATTTAAATTTAGTTAATTCAATAACTCTAGAATAAAAAGAGTCTCAGTGATGATCATGAAACTGTCATGTTGTAAAACCCATTTGGTTCATTAATGTGCTTTTGAGAAGGAAATTTGCCACCATTACCCAATCTGGCCTATATGTGACTCCATACCCACAGGAATGTAATTGATTATTAACTGAAGCAGCACCACAACACGTGTATTTCAACAGCATTACTCTACAGAGGGCAGTGAATGCTGGCCTTGCCATTGATGTCCACACCCCATAAATGCATTAAAAATGAGATGTTTGGCTTGTGAGAAAATGACCATCAGCTTCAGTTCCTACTGCAGGTCAGAGTTCATATCTCAGATCTACTGAAGGATATATTCTCTTTGGAAAGATGCTTCTGTGCATTTTTTTTAGTATTTATCTGATTGCCAAGTAAACAAAATAATTCACTGTACCAAGAGTAGGGATCACAGCTGATTCTTATTGGGCACTGCAAATGATTACTTAGGCAATTTGTCTGTGAAATGGGTCCAGATATCCTGCCTCCCAGGAACTATCTGTAACAGTGCCTCAAATTCAGTTGTGTTCAAGTTCATGTTGGAGCTATTGTAGTACATTTGAATAGTGAAGGTACCACATTTCTTGAAGTCTGTTTGAGAAAGAAATCCAGTTCTCCCATGTCCCATGCACCAGGCCTTGTTATCACATTAAAAACCGAAAGAATTGCAGATGCCGTAAATGGGAAACAAAAACAGAAATTGCTAGAAAAGCTCAGCAGGTCTGGCAACATCCATGTTGAGAAATCAGAATTAACATTTCGGGTCAAGTGACCCTTCCTCAGAACTCAGGGTCTTGTTACCACATCATCTGTTATTACACACCATCCATCGTTAGCCACTAATTGTCCACTAATAGCTATTCATTCTCCCAGGCTGATCATTATCTGCTCCTTTGTCTGTCCAAATGTTCTTCTCTCTCCTTGGACTCTATCTCCACTAGTTGTTTACTCCTTACACCCTCCCTCCACCCTATCTTCTGCATAAAAAAACAACTTTTTCCTAGCCACCATCAGTTCTGAGGAAGGGTCACTGAGCCCAAAATGTTAATTCTGATTTCTCTCCACAGATGCTGCTAGGCCTGCTGAGCTTTTCCAGCAATTTCTGTTTTGGTTTCATCTTTACTGTTTTGGTTAATGTGTTCACTGTTTAAACCACATATATGTAATATATGTCAGAAACTGCACCATCGCCATTGACGTTGCTGTAGAGTTGGTGAAACGTGAGTCCTTGTTGAAGATTGAATGGAATCTGTAGCAAAAGTTTGATCGCAATCTCTCTCAGGCTAGAAATTGTAATCTTGTTTTATTTGCTACCCCTCTGGTCATTTTGGAAGTCTGTATACAGTGAATCGATATTTTCTGATGTGATGTCATAGTGATTTATGCTGAACAAGTAGTCCCAGAGAGTTAAATGGAAAGTAAGGTTATCAGAGCCAAGGGGCTGCAGGCACATTTCATACAGTAACAGAGCTGCCAGATTCCAGTGAGCAGCACATCAAGGCTGCTCCTTGGAGGACCAGGCTGATCATAGCACAGCGTGCTTTTCTGGAGGTATTGTGCGTCTTTTGTCATATGGTGATATGTATCCTGTTATTACAGAACCCAACAACTAGTCTCATACTAGTGAGGGATGAGGAAGGATTAATGTGTTACTTTTTGCTTAGTTTTACTTGAATTATGTTGAAATGACTGCAATAGTACAGAAACTTTATTCAGTAAGACCCACATTTTACCCTACCAAGCAAACCAATGATCCTAATGAATCCGAGCACTGCAAAGACGCCTTGGAGTTGTTAGGTGAGGAAAAAGAACAGTGTAGAGTGGGATCAACCTAGGGTTTTACCTCATCCCAGACTTCTGACTCAAAGTTCAAAGTGATTGAGTGATTTTAATGAAGTCACGTGATCCATATATTCTTACCCTAACAGCAATCTTTTTGAGAGAGAAGTTCAGACAGTGCTGTCTGAGACACCACAGACTGCTGCAGAATAGCAGTTTCTAAAGTTAAGACTGCAGAGGGAGCTCAACTCAACAGCGAACTGTGTGGCAACTAATAAGAGAATGCTTTTTGCATATACTGGGTGGCAAAATAGAAAGTGTTGCATTTGCCAGCATTAATTGCAAAAGTTGCATACAAAAATCTGGGAAGTTAAAAAGCATTAGCAATGAAGCATATTTTCCCCTTTTTTTCCCAAGGTTTTTGATATGTGGTTCACAATGGCACCTCTTTACTGTGAAATGCACAACTTTGTGAGGCTGATGTTTCTGTGTCTCATCTATTCAGATGAAGTCAACGACATGTGGGAGGACCAGGATGATGATGATGAGGAGGAGGAGGAGGATGAGGGTTTAGCAGGACAGCTGCTATCAGATCTACTCAGTCCAGGGGCAGGTGTTCGATATGGTAAGACGCTTTATAAATTATCAGTAAAAACAGCTATTGTGGCTCAGTGGTAGTATCCCTAACCCTGAGCCAGGAGACTCTGTTTCATGGTCCCACCTACTCCAGTGGTGTGTAATAACATCCTTAAACAGGTTGATTAGAAAATATCTAAATTATTGTCACTATTTTTAAAGGTACAGCTCCACTTCTAACACTTTATTTTGCTGCCTGCTTTTATATGTGCATTGTCTTGATTACTGTCAGGATTTGCTATGGTGAAATCTAGTTATTTGTTGTAGCTGGAGGTTGCTATGTTTTATTATTGATCAAAAGTTATTTGGAGTTCCTCTGAGGTGCAAATAATAATTGAAGGCATTATTTTTGTTTTGAAATACCAGTGTAAAATGGATGGGTAATAAAATGCCAGATAGATTCAGCATCTGTTGAGAGAAGGGAAGCCACCTCTGCAATCAGGATCCTTCCTCCTCTTAAGCAGTATTTCAAAAATAACAAATCATAGGAAGGGGGAAGAAACTCAAGTGCAAGAAAGAAATGGCCTGTGTAGTGCTTGGAGGAGAATGTGAGATGGTTAAATAGAGAAAAGCAAAGGGAATGATAGAGCAGATTCCAGGGGTCCAGTGTCGACCACCCTGACAGCATGATCTTCTGGGGGTCCTTTTGCCACTCCATTTTATACCATGCATCCAGTGCAGCTTGTAAACATGTACGTTATTGGAGCTGTTTAACTGTAGTGTGGTTTAATGGTTCTGTACTGTGACAAATGCTAAGCATGTGTCCCCATGCCTGTGTAACCTCTAAGTCTCAGTTGACTGACAGGATAAGGGTGGGAATCACTGTTCTTTTACTGCTGCTACGTTGTTTAACTTCAGTTTGTATTTGAAGCTGATGCAGTAGCTAATAAAATTGTGAATTTCTTTCTTGTGTCTCCTGTGGTGATCCCTATGGCACAGCAGTCAGTTTCCTACTTTACAGTTTTTGCAATAGACTCAATTTCCAAGCTGTGGTCCCAAAGAGCAAAATGGGGACAAAGTTCATGTTGAATCGTCTGAGATGTCAAAATCTATAAGGAAGGAGTGGCATCCCTCTCGGGCTGGCAAAAGGCGACATTGTTTTATCCACTGGCAAATGTATAAATGGTTTGAGAGGCTGTGTCAGGAATTGATCAGATAAAATATGCAAAAAAAATGTGGATTTCAAAAAACATACAACACAAGAAAACCGTGATACACTGACCTCTAGATCTGAAGCAGATGGTTGAAGCACAGAAGATTTTAAAACCATGAAGAGAAAAAAAAAACTCAGTTGTAAGCAGAGTTGAGAATTTAAAACTGGGACAATTTGTACAGAGTCTTACTGATCATTCTCTATTTCTAGGTTCCCATTAATAGTGTTTGCATCTTGCACATACACAATCAGGCCTGGCAGATTAATAAATGGCAAACGAGCAAGATGGGAGTCGACAGACACACCATCGACAATGTTTTGTTCTAATTTTCAGAGACCTCTAATTGTAAAATGCAAATGTCTCAATTGAGATGAGAGGACGGAATCTTCAAGCTTTGATCAGTTTAAAAGGATCAGTCTCCCAGAGGTTTGCAATCTGCACATTGCAAAGGATGTTTTTTGAATGATTGAATAATGACAGCTGATTTCTAAAAAGTTTTGATATGATATTTTGCACCTATTTGAAGCTAATTAAGGTTAGGAGTAATAATGATGTCTGTTTCTAAACAGATGATGATTATTATGACGAGGATGTTGAAGATGATCCAGACACTCTGAAGGATCCATTATATCAAGTTGATTTACAGGTATATTGGAGTCTTCATTAAATGTGATGAGATGGGGGGGTGTGTAAGTTTTTTTTATGATCAGTAAAGCAGAGACAGGAGATAAATGGAATCAAGTGGAAAGATCGTGACACAAGTGTTCAGCTTGAGGGTGAACACTGGAGAGCCTCAATGGAATGAAATCAGGCACACATCTGGGTGCACAATCCTGTTTTCAAATCTTACACTCATTGTTTGCTGGGGGAGGGAAAAAGTGAGAGGCTGTACTATGTAGGTGCCAGGGTGAGAAGCTCGAGGGGTGGTGAGGTTGTGCTGGGGGAGAGGTGAAGAATGAGTGGTGAGCTAGGAGGGGGAAGGAGTAGTGAGACTCTGCTGAAGGGGCGGGTGGCTGGGGTTGAGAAGCTGGGTAGATGGGTGATTGTAGACAGTAAGCTGCAGCTGTTGTGGAGAGGAGACTGGGGGTGAAGGGACACTGGAGGGATAGGGAAAATGCACACTGTCAAGACTAGCAATACAGATGAAGGAACTCTGAATTTGGGGGGTGGGGTCAGGGGTGGTGCGGCATGTGTACTGGGGTGGGGCAAGAATAGAGGGTGCAGACTAGGAGAGGAGCTAAATGGAGTAAGGAAACGGGATTAAGGGAGAGAGATTGGGATCTGAGTGTAGAGATGGGAGAGTCAGAGTAGAGTGATGTGGCTTAGAGGAGTGGGGTACTGGAGATTAGGCCTGAGTGGCACTGTGGTTTAGCGATTAGCACTGCTGCTTAACAGCGCCAGGGACCTGGGTTCAATTCCAGCAATGGCAACTGTCTCTGTAGAGTTTGCATGTTCTCCCCATGTCTGCATGGGTTTCCACCAGTGCTCAGGTTTGCTCGCAGAGTTGAAATATTAGGTTAGGTGGATCGGCAATGCTAAATTGCTGCATAGTGTCCATGGATGTGCACGCTAGGTGGATTAGCCATGGTAAATGCGGGGTTACTGGGACAGTGTAGGGGGTTAGTTCTGGGTAGGGCGCCCTTTGGAGGGTCAGAGTGTACCTGATGGACGGAATGACTTTTAACTGCGCTGTAGAGATTGTTATTCTGATTTGACCTTTCTAACAGAGAAAGGAAAGATATGATTTAATTTCTGTGAAACATCAGAAAGATGCTAATACAGGATTGAAAGGCTAAGCTATCAGCATCATTGGGTAAACTATGTCAGCACAACAAGCAGTTGGAGAGGAAAGAGTTTGCAAAGATCCAGTGGAGGACATGTTTAAGGGCAGTTATTGTTCTATACACACTGGCAGAGGACAATGTCAGGAATTATACATTAGGCCAAAACCTGAAGTCTCGTTGAGAAAAAGACTGAGTATGCTGGATGAGATCACACTTCAGACATAAGATCCCAGAACGTTACGTCATTCCTGTTGATGACCCCTAGTGTTTTACTGTCTGTTTGGGAAATATCTCCGACATAAATGACCAAAAATGGCACCTCAACTACACAAATGGAGAGCACGTTGTAAAATGGAAGGAATTGCTGTCATTGTGAAATGTGTGTTGTATACTGATCCTGTGTTTTAATTACAGGCATATCTAACAGATTACCTCCGTCAGTTTGCCCAGCAGCCCTGCTACACACCATTTTCTGATCACCTCAATGAGAAAGAGAAGAGAGTTTTACGCTCGATAGGTATTTAAAATCACCTGGAAGAGACCTGGGTTCCTCCGCATTTACTAAGTCATTAATTGACACGAGGTCAGTTATTGTTAATACTGCTCCCTCTGTGCCAGCTGCTCGTTTTATACAGAGAGATTTCATTATCGCCCCTTTTCATCATGACTCCAACAGAATTACTGCAGAGGCCTGACCTGAGGATTCGTCATTTCATTTTGGGAAGTAAACATCTTGTTGAAGCTTCTGCAGCTGGTGCTGTTGGGATTGGAGAAAGCCTGCAGTGAAGCATATTCCCTCATGAGGCAGTTTTGGCATTTTGGAATCTGCAAAGGAGCAGCCTTGGTTAAACCCTACTTTTGTTACAGAACGCAGACATTAAAGTTACATAATGCACTTAAATGAATGAAGATGGAAGATTTGTGAAACATTTTGTTTTGCGATTGTCCTGGTATTTGGTCTGAACTGTTCCTACAGAAAGTTGCTCCATCACTGGAAGAATAAATATTAACAGCCAGATTCTGAGGAGGTTACAGCCTGATTAAGCTCTTTAGGGTAAGATTTACTATGTCTGGGGCGTTTGTCTCCAACTGGGACATTGTTTCCATTCAGGAAAAAGAAGCAAAAGGATTGGATTTTGTGATCTTGTTGATGCAGAACCATTGCAAAGTAGGGTTTGGGGCTTAGAATTCCTAGAAACAGTTTTTTGCAATGTTTCTTACACGCACGTTGTTCTTTCTCCTGTGTTAGGAACAAAACTGACACGTAACCCTTTTGTAAGAGGACCATGGAACTTTAGACCTCAATAAACCATCTGCTGAACTAGGTGGATTGAACTTCTCGTTTCAAACAAACTGTCTATCTCATTGGGAGCTGAACGTATCGTTCAAATTCATCATTCTATTTTTAATGTGAGAAAGGCTGGTTTAGTAACTGCAGAGAGAGAGAGGGAGTGAGGATGGACAAGACGAATGAAGGCTGAGGTGGAAAAGCGACTGAGTATGAGAGACTGTGGAGGTGAGGTGACTGAGGACGAGGGGATTGGAGGAGGGGTGAGGGGACTAGAGGACTGGGGACGAGGGGACTGGAGGTGGGTTCGGGTGACAACAGGAAAAGGGAGGGGACTGAAGGAGAATGTTGAAGGAACTGATGACAGGAGAGTGAAGAAGGGGTGAGGGAATTGAAGATTGAAGGGGGGGATGGGTGAGGAACCTGAGACGTGAGGGAGGTTGAGAGGACTGAGGATGGTTGGGGGTGAGGAGAGGGCTGGCGAGGGGACCTAGGATGGGAGGATGAGGGGATTGAGCTCGGTGAAGGGTAAAGGGACTGCATATGGGGGTGGGAGGCCAAGTATGAAGAGGGGGTGGACGGTAAAGAAGGCTGAGGAGGAGCCAGGTGGAGGAGTGAGGACAATAAGAAGGGGGTGCTTTGAATACAAAGGACTGGCTTTTTGCGTAACTTTTTTATATGCGAGATCCGAGAGTGCTCGTCAGTTTATGGTTGGGGATCTGCTAGAATTCTCCATGTTTTATGTAATTATGCAATGCACTCATATTTGATGTGAGGATCCACCTCCTAGCTCCTAAGCACAGAACTGTTCAGACTGATACCTTTTATCCAATAGGTAAAGTTGCATCTTATGAGGCAGAAACCCAGTGTTTCAGCTGCTGAATACTCTCTGAAGAAATGTTCACTGTGATCCCTGTAGGCTGCTTTCTTCTCGTTGCTATCTAAGTAATATTGAAATTCACTCCATGAATTTTGATTTCACCTTGTGAGGTATGTTGGAGACACTTAACAGATTTGATTAGACATTGTGTAATTATTGTCTGGACAACTCTGAGACATCAGGTTGTCACCATTTCACGGAGCTGAGGCTCCCTAATGACACGATTTGGAAAACTTCACCTACTGATATTGTAATGATGAAGCTGCTTAGGAAATATGAATTACTCCTATTAATGTTGTGGAGGTGTCGGTGTTGGACTGGGGTAGACAAGGTCAAAAATCACACAACACCAGGTTATAGTCCAACCGGTTTATTTAAAGACACAAGCTTTCGGAGTCTCGCTCCTTCAGGTGTCAGTGAGAGAGGTGACATCAGACACAGATTTTATAAGCAAAAATCACAGGATCGTAGAAGTGATGCAAATGTACTGAACAAACCTAAGATGGCTGTTAAATCTTTAATCAGTTGGAAAGGATTAATATGAAAAACCAGATTTCTTTCAAGTCTGCCCCGAGATAACTAAAGGTTTTATTAGTATACCAGAGGTGACATCTCAGGTCAGACAATGCATTTTAATTGTGAGGCCTTGTTTAGAATCTGGCTGTGTATCAACTTGGAGTCAGACTGGTTTTATTTCCAAAGTAGGAATTTATAAAATGCTGCATTGACTGTCTACAGACTGTGCGCTTTTTGAACAAAATAGAATGTATCTGCAATTACAAATCTGCAAATGCAAATTCACACCATAGATTTATGTGTGCACGTGTGTGTGCGTGCACGCGCACATGCTTGAGAGAGAGTGCACGCATGAGAGAGTGGGTGTGTGTGTAGCGTGGTGGGGTCACCTATAGTTCTGAGGAAGGGTCACTGGACCCGAAACGTTAACTTTGTTTCTTGAAGGACATTTATCCAAAGATCCGAGGCTGAACGTGGGAATGCCACCCACCGCGTGCACGACAGATGCTTGTGTGATTTGGCCAACGTTGTCTATCTCATATGCTGCAGGCAAGGATGCCCTGAGGCATGGTACATTGGCGAAACTGTATAGGTGCTATGACAACGGATGAACAGACACTGCACAACAATTGCCATACAGGGATGTTCCCTCCCAGTGGGGGAACACTTCAGTGGTCAAGGACATTCAGACTCAGACCTTTGGATAAACATCCTCCAGGTGGACTTTGGGATACACAACAACACAGTCGCCTAGCAGAGGATGATAGCCAAGCTTGGTACCCATGAGGACGGCCTCAACCGAGATCATGGGTTCATGTCCACTACAGGTGACCCCACTACGCTATCCTCCCTCTCTCCCTTCCCCCCCTCACTCTTGGACACGCGCACACACACACACGCACACACACTCTCCCCATTACACACACACTTTACCCCTCTCTCACAGACTCTGTCTCTCTTTTCCCCCTGCCCCACACGCACACAAACTCTCTCTCTCTCTCTCCCCCTCACACTCCCACAAACACTCTCTCTCTCTCTCTCCCTCACACATGCACACTCTCTCTCTCCCCCTCTCTCTCACACACTGTGTCTCTCTCCCTCACACGCATCCGTGTGCACACACATATGTAAATCTATGGGATGAATTTGCATTTGCAGATTTGTAATTGCAGATACATTCTATTTTGTTCAAAAAGCGTACAATTTTATAGACAGTCATTGTGGCATTTATAAATTCCTACTCTGGAAATAAAACCAGTCCAAGTTGATACACAGCCAGATTCTAAACAAGGCCTCACACCTAAAATACATTCTGACTTGAGGTGTCAACTCTGGTATACTGATAAAACCTTTAGTTATCTTGGGGTAGTGACTTGTGAGAAATTCTGGGATTTTGATATTAATCCTTTCTAACTGATTAAAGATTTAACAGCTGTCTTAGGTTTGTTCAGTACATTCGTATCAGTTCAATGGCCCTTTGATCTTTTGCTTACAAATCATGTGTCTGATGCCACCCCTCTCACTGATACCTGAAGAAGGAGCAAGACTCAGAAAGCTTGTGTCTTCAAATAAACCTGTTGGACTATAACCTGGTGGCATGTGATTTTAAACCTTGACCTTTTAATGTGATATCAAACATTTTTAATTAAAATAAATCAAACATGAATTCTACTCACCCTTTTCCATTCAGTGTTGCCACCTGGGTGGTGTTTTGTTATTTGAGGTGACCAGAATGTGGAGTAGAAAGTGGAAAGTAGAAAGTACCAGCAGTGCCATTGTAGCCACTTGTGATTTGATATCATCTTGCTAGCGGTTCCTGTAATGAGCTCAGGCTGTGATCTCATTCTTGGTGATCTGTCATTCTTGTTTTTCATTGCACTGTCCCTTCCTTTCCTCATTGTTTCAATGCAAATTGAAATTTCTTTCACTTTCTCTTCATCTTACAAACTGAAGTACCACCCTTATGTTTAGATAATTTTCAAATAAAGTGTCTGACCTGTTGTTTTTCCACATATGCGTTACCTCATGATCAATAGTTCAGTGTCCACCGCACCACTCTCTGAAGTATTCAGCGTGTACTTTTTTCTGGCCAGCAATTTCCAATATTTAACTATACAGTACGTGTCATAGCATTGTCTTATTTGCACATAAACTACTTCAAACATAGGGCTGCTCTCTCATTCGACAAACAAGTGGTGAGTTTAACCTGAGGTCAACCAAGCCTTACGCAAGAGGTGAGATTGGGAAGGCATGATCTTCATAGTAACCTCAGCCGGTCCAGGAATTGAATTTGTGCTGTTGGTGTCACTCCGCAAACCAGCAATCCAGCCAACAGAGCTAACTGACCCCGGGGAGTTTAGCTGATTTGCGATGTAGTGTGATATCAGCAGGGTGGATTCAATTCGTGACTGAGGTCACCATGAAGGTCCCACCTCTCAACCTCACCTGAAGTGTGGTGACCTGCACCTGTCCCCTCCCTAATGACAGAATAACACTATGGTCCTCTGGGACTGTGGCAACTTTACCTTTTATTTCAAATACTTGATGAAGCAGATATAAATGGTAAGATGCTGTCCCTTCATTGAGCAGTAGATTTGATCAGTAGAATTTTCTTAGTATTAATATAAAATAATGAGTACATTACTCTATCCCTCATCAGTGGGATATCTTTCTTGATTTCTAAAGGCTCCCATGTGGGTTAACCATATTGTAGTCTTTCCTGGGCCGGATGTATTAAAAAAAGACATGAATGACTATCTGAGTTTGTCTTTTTTTTTGTATCATTATTTTTGGGAGCAACAGGAACCACGATAATCAAATGGATAAGTTAATAGACTAACAAATTATTTTTCAGTTACACTATGGAAAATTATCACCATGAGATTCACTTTTAAAACATAAATAACTACAGCAGTAGATCCTAAAGCCCGACAAATCTGCTCCACTATTCAGTTAATGAAGGTCCATAACTAACCTAATACATCCATTCCACCTTCCTGCTATATCCCTGTATCCCTTAATTCTTGATCAGTGGCCAAAAACCCATCAATCTTAAATTAACTCAGCAATGGAGGACCTGAAGTTTCCAATGATTTGTGCCTTGTGAGTTGAAGATATTTTTTCACATCTGTGTCTTAAGTGGCTATCACCTTGCCCAAAGACTTGTGACCTTTAATTCCAACTATCCAGTCATTTTAAATACTATTGGGTTCTACTCTTACCTGCTAAAATTGCCCCTATTTCAGGATCATCCTGGAGTGTAAAAAGTTGGGTTCTTTTCTCTACATAAATGCCTCTCTCTAGTCTCTTCAAGTAGTATCAGAAGCTTATGAACATCTTTGTCATTAAGATTAAGACTATCCAATCTGTTGTCTCTGCCATATTCTTCTTTTCCACTCTCCTACATCTGAAGTGGGTCTGTGCCCTCATCTGAACTCCCATCTTTCTCTAGTTTCTCACCTATCTCCATGGCCTCCCTGAACTCGTCCATGAGACCCACTCCTGTTCTATTGATCCTATTCTCAATAAACTGCTGATCATTCAGCCTTTCCTCCTCATTCCCATGTTAGCCGATATTGTAAAGTTCTTTCTCCTCTTGTTTCATCTCCTCCATCAAATTTTCCATACTTGCATTCCTCAAAC